CCTGGTGACAGCTTACAAAAGCTGTAAACCTGGAGTGCACTGCACAGGCTGCAGGCTTCTCAACGGGTTGGAGAGTGTCCTGTCCAGGTGCCTCAGTAGGTCTAAACCTTTTCCAGGAAGCTTGGCTGGCTTCTGCTTCTCCCAGGCAGCTGGTCTGGTCTCAGAGTCCTTGAATCTTGGCTCGGTTACATCTTGGGAGGGAGGGGCCTAGTGAATCTGGTCAGTTTCAGGGACTTCCTGAAGCTATTTTGAGTTGTTCACCTTCCTGCTTAAGGAGCTTCCCTGCCAGGTGGAATGTCCCGATGGGGGAAACTGCAACATACCAGTAGGATGCCGTGGATGGTACTTCATGGTGACCGCCTTAAGGAGGCCATCTACTCATTCACTGATGCCAGAATTACAAGCAGAAGAGAAGTCATCGATGTCCTGCTCAGATGTCATCCTTAAGTGAACATTCTGTTCAGGCAATGGGACTTGCCCAAAAGCTTGGAAGTCTCCAGCGAGCTCCCATCTGACTTCTTTTCCCTCTCAAATCTACCACTGTCCTCACTTAGCATTATCCTTTGTTAAATTTTATTTTAAAAATCCTTGCCCCAACTTCAGTGTTTTGTGGGGCAGGGTGAACACTCCAATCCAGGCACTGCCCAAGAGCTTCCTTTGTAAAGGCTCTTTCTTTAGTCACCTAGCACTCAAGACAGAGCCACAGGGACGCCCTCCTCCCTATGGCTGTGATGTCTGACAGGACACAGCTCCAGCTCGGAGGGGACACAACCCTCCGTGCAGGCCTTCTCTCTCCTCTGACAGTGAGTTCAGGGGAAGAAAGTTTGAAATGAATGCCGCATGTGAAGGGCCATTATTGTTCACATTTTTTTAATGTAAACTTGATTATTTTAATGCTAATTTAAAAATAAATGAGTTTATATTGATTGCAAAAAAAAAATCCTCAATCTGTGAATTTGGAAGAATAGACTAGGAATTTTCTAGGCTTCCTTATTAATGTTAGAATACAGTTAACATTGCTTCATATTCACCCATGCATCTTTCTCTTCTTTAAAAAAAGTATATATATATATATACATTTATTCATGTGTGTGTGTGTGTGTGTGTGTGTGTGTGTGTGTGTGACGACACAGTGTACATGTAAAGGACATAGGATAACTTGGAGGGAGTCAGTTCTCTCCTTCCACTGTGGATTCTGAGGATCAAACTCAGTCATCAGGTTTGGCAGCAAGCCGTTCCCTTCCCTTCCCTTCCCTTCCCTTCCCTTCCCTTCCCTTCCCTTCCCTTCCCTTCCCTTCCCTTCCCTTCCCTTCCCTTCCCTTCCCTTCCCTTCCCTTCCCTTCCCTTCCCTGCCCACTGACCCCGCCTCCCTCTCTGAGTGCGGAGATCACAGGCACCATGCCCACTGACCCCGCCTTCCCACCTTTTTGACAATAATTTGTAGACATGACAGTTTCTTCAGTACACTTCTAGGAATGGAGTACATATACAGTATAATTACTATATTCAAGAAACCCAGCACTGTTGTAGTGCTGTATTAGTTGATGTTTATGTCTTCCCAACTATTTCTATAATGTTATATAATTTCTATAATGTATGTGTGTGCTTTAAAAATCTGGGAGGCAGAAGCAGGTGGATCTCTGTGAGTTTGAGGCCAGCCTGGTCTACAGAGTGAGTTCCAGGGCAGCCAAGGCTACACAAAGAAACCCTATCTCAAAAAACGAAACAAAACAAAATCTATAATACAGATGTCTGCCAGCCGTGCTGCCACTGGGGACTATGTTTATGTAAGTGGCCTGTGTAGCCACCTGAGGCCATGTAAATGCCTGTGGCCAATGCTGCTACTGGAGGGTCATGTCTGGGACCCTGGTCCTGCTGCAGCCGGGGTCCATGTTGATGTCCAAGACCCATGTTACCACCAAAGGCCATGAGGACTACCATGGTCTGTGCTGCCGCCTGGAGCCATGTTAATGTCTGTTGTGTGCTGTGCTGCTGCCAGGGGTCATACTGAGGTCTGTGGCATATGCCAAGGCTAGAGACCGTGTGGATGTCTGTGGTCCGTGCTGTCCTCAGAGACCCTGTGGACGTCCCTGGTTCTACTGACTGTAAAGGGCAAGGACGCTGCTTTTGTGCGGTATCAATGACTGCAGACTCATAGTTGAGGAGGAGGGGCGTAGAGGCTTCTGTGACAACCCCACCCCTGCCACCAAAGTAGCAGCCCAGACGGAAAGCCATTGGAGAGGAATCTTTAAAAACGCGATACGGATGCTGAAGTGTGGCTCTCCACAGCTGAGGGCTTCTGGTGGGGTGCAGGGGGGGAGGACTCAGCTTTCTTTAAAGGGCTGGCCACTGGGCGTTTGACCAGGCTCCAGGGATCATACGGGCTGCCCGAGCCGGACTCTTCTTTTTTCTTCTTTTCTTAGGTGGAGGTCACAGCAGGGGCAGGCAGACTGGGAAGACTGGGAAGTGAGTGTGATTGACTGGGTGTCTGACGTGACGCTTCCAAACAATCAACACGAATACTATGTCGGAAAAAAATCTGTACAGCACAGCCAGGTGTGGTGGCACACGCCTTTCTTTATGCTGGTACTTAGTGGGCAGAGGCAAGTGGAGCTCTGTGAGTTCAGGTCCAGCCTGGCCTACGTAGTCCCAGGTCAGCCAGGGCTACACAGTGAGACCTGTGTCAGACAGAAAAACAGAATCCAGACTGTGATCCAGCCTTGGGACACCCCTGAATTTAGATGTGTGTCTCTTTCCACAGTCTAAATCTGTTTCCAGCTGTTATTATCTCATGATAACTGACATTCTTAAAAGACACAGGCTTATTTTCCAGATTATTGCTTGCTTTTGGAACTTACTGTATAGAAGAGGCGGTTCTAAAGCTCACAGAGATCGGCTTGCCACTGCTTCCTGAGTGCGGGGCTTAGAGGCCTGCACACCTGAGTCCAGGTTTGTTAGTTTGAAACATAAAATGCTTTCTTTAGTCTTTGAGAGATTTTTGTTTTAAATACAAAATGCTTCCTTTATTCTTTGAGAGATTTTTGTTTCTTTTGTTTTTCAAGACAGGGTTTCTCTGTGTTAACAGTCCTGGCTGTCCTGGAACTGGCTTTGTACAATGACTTGTCAGAGCTCTGCACCCATGGCCCCACTGTGAGATCATGGGGTCAGCATCCCCATGTCAGGACCCAAGGAGCTGTGCCAGTCAGGTTTTCCTGACGATTGTGACAGAGATAAAATTAAGTGAAAAAAGAGAGTTGGGAACAATATTTGTGTTACTGCATTATTGCCTGTGTCTCTTTCTCCATGTTTAGAGGCTACATGGTTATAGATGGGCTTGTAGTTTCTGGCAGATTGCAAAGCAACTGTATGAATTTTCACCTCTGAGGAATGAGACTGGGTCCTGGAGGCTGGGCAGGGACTTTACCGTCTACCGGTGCATTAGCAGAAATGACACAAGTGATGGATTAATACATTCTTTTAGAAATTCATCTATTGCATCTATTGCATGAAAATGTGATGTGTATGTGCCATATGGGGTGTGTGTGTGAGAGTATGTGTGTGTGTGTTTGTGTATGTGGCACATGGTGTGAGTGTGAGTGTGTGTAAGATGTATGAGAGTGTGTGTGATGTGTGTGTGTGATGTGTGTGGCATATGGTGTGTGTTTGTGAGTGTGTGAGAGTGTGTGAGCGTGTGTGTGTGAGCATGTGCGAATGTGTGTGGCATATGGTGTGTGTGTGTGAGTGTGTGTAAGATGTATGAGAGTGTGTGTGATGTGTGTGTTTGTGTGATGTGTATGTGGCATATGGTGTGTGTGTTTGTGTGTGTGAGAGAGTGTGTGAGCGTGTGTGTGTGTGTGTGTGTGAGCATGTGCAAATGTGTGTTTGGGTGATGTGTGTTTGTGGCATATGGTGTGTGTGTGTGCGTGTGTATGTGTGTGTGTACACTGTGCATACATGAGGCTAGAGGATATCAGGTGTCCTATTCTGTCACCCTCATTGAAGCTGTGGTTAGACTGGCAGTTAAGTCCCAGTGACCCTCTTGTCCCCTGTATCACCGGGCCTATAAGTACAATCACGTGGTGGTGCCTAGCTCTTTATTTTTAACATCGGTGTTGGGATCCGAACTCAGGTCTTCAAGTTGTGCAGCAAGCATATTCTTACCCACCGAGCCATGGCTCCAGCTTCTATGAACACATTCTCAGTATGACAATGTAATCACCACAGGTAAGAGGGCATAGTTCACTGGAGCAGGAGGCTTTAGAGAGTGAAAGGCAGACCTGCTAGTCACACCAGCAGGAGTGATGATGGTGGCCTCCTGGGCAGACCTGGACAGGTGCTCACCCTGTGAAACCAAACGCCCGCTTTGTTATCTGTCCCTGGCCAGAGGTAGCCACTGCGATCAGTGCGACCCGCACCTGGGAGGCCCTGCACACACAGGGTGGCTGTGCAAGTCGGTGCTTGGCGGGATCTCTTTCCCATACACGATCAGCGCCAGCTCTTGACATTGTCACTCAGCATTCGCGCTGAAGATTTAGCCACAGCGAGCTGGCATGAATCTGCTCCGTCCCCATCAGCTGCTCAGCGGCATTCTTCATCGGAACCAGCCCTCCCTCGTTTACCTGCCCTCCAGTGTGTGAATATCGAGGTCGTTTCCGACTCTAGGGTTACCGGCAGGGCCAGTGTTCATGCCCGTGAGACTATCCCAACCGAGGAACAAGCCAGCACCTTTTAGAAGTCAGTCTGCAGCCGAGATGATGTCTAGACATGTAATTGGTAGGAGCTGCTGAGATTAGGGCACGGTTCTTCACCAGGCTTGAGGAGCCCTCACCTTTCACACCCACGAAGACGCAGGGGTTCAGAAGTGAGGCTTCCCACTCTGTACCAAGAGAAGTGCTCTGCGTCTTGCCTATACTCGTGGCTCAGCGCCTCCCGGAAGTCAGGTGCCTCCATTCTCCCTGCCGCTGCTCGGGGAGGGGGGGCGCACTTTGCGTCACTAACGGTGACGGTGGAATGCAGTAGAAAGATCCCGGCTTCGGGTGTGGACAATTTCTAGTTCCACCGTCTGGCCGTGTGGCCTTGAGTAAGTTGCTTTGCCTTTCTGGGCCTCTGACTCTTCATCTATGGACTAGGGAAACCATTATGCGCCCCCTGATTGTGAGCTCTCGGGAGGACTCACATAACAGGACATGTGCAGTGCTCTTGGGGCCACAAAGTGAGCACTGCGTAAGTCTTGACTTTTGTCCCCCGTCCCCTGTCTAAACTATCACTGAGTGTATGAGCGTCCACCTGTTGGTGTTCCTGAGAGAAAACATGATGTCGTTTTCTCCTTCGGCACTATCTCCATCCCTCCCAAGTCTTGGCAGAGAGTTGGTAAATTTTTTGGATCCCAAGAAGAAAGAGGAGGCTGTTTCAGGGGCAAGGCTCCATCTTTATCCAGGTCCTAGGGTGTTACCTAGCAACAGGCAGGGAGATGAAGTGGGAGTTCATGGTCCGACAGGAGCAAGAGTGCCTAAACCTGGGAGTCTTCCATTTTAGCCTCGGGGATTAAGTCTGTTCGAGGCATGTGGCCAGCGTCCTCTCAGTGTTCAGCCTGATAGGGGATACTCAGTATTCATTCCAAAGGAAGTTTCTAGACACACTCACATCTTGGAATGCTTCCTGTCCAGTAGTGAGGACGTCTGCTCAGCTCAGTGAGGGTTTCCTTTGGTGTGACCCTCATTTCCTTATATCTCTATGCACATGGTCTATCGGGCTCTGAGCCAGGTCAATGGGTACTCACTGGTGACACCTCATGTCCCAGCTTGTGGCTGCACATCTGGGTGGGTCCCATTCTTAAGGGCTTTACAGAAAAGGGCGGCGTCCTCTGCAGCTCAGAGGCTCAGGAAGGCTAGTCTAGGAAAGAGAGTGGAGGGTGTCCTCAGGGACCGGGAAGAGGAGGCTGGTGGTGCTGGTGATGGTGGTGATGGTAGTGGTGCTGGTGCTGGTGGTGATGGTAGTGGTGGTGGTGGTGGTGATGGTGGTGATAATGGTGATAGTGCTGATGGTGGTGATGCTGGTGGTGATGGTGCTGCTGCTGGTGGTGGTGGTGATGGTGGTGGTGATGGTGGTGGTGGTGATGGTGGTGGTGATGGTGGTGCTGGTGATGGTGGTGATGGTGGTGGTGGTGCTGCTGCTGGTGGTGGTGGTGATGGTGATGGTGATGGTGCTGCTGGTGGTGGTGGTGGTGATGGTGGTGGTGGTGGTGATGGTAGTGGTGGTGGTGATGGTGGTGATGGTGGTGATGGTGGTGGTGATGGTGGTGGTGGTGGTGATGGTGGTGGTGGTGGTGATGGTAGTGATGATGGTGATGGTGCTGGTGGTGGTGATGGTGGTGGTGGTGATGGTGGTGGTGGTGGTGGTGATGGTGGTGCTGGTGGTGGTGATGGTGGTGGTGGTGATGGTGATGGTGCTGCTGCTGCTGGTGGTGGTGGTGGTGATGGTGGTGGTGGTGGTGATGGTAGTGATGATGGTGATGGTGCTGGTGGTGATGGTGCTGGTGGTGGTGATGGTGGTGGTGGTGGTGATGGTGGTGATGGTGACGGTGATGGTGGTGATGGTTTGGTGGTGGTGGTGGTGGTGATGGTGGTGGTGGTGGTGATGGTGGTGGTGGTGGTGGTGATGGTGGTGATGTTGATGGTGGTGATGGTGGTGATGGTAGTGGTGGTGGTGGTGATGGTGGTGGTGATGGTGCTGCTGCTGGTGGTGGTGGTGATGGTGGTGGTGATGGTGGTGATAATGGTGATGGTGCTGATGGTGGTGATGCTGGTGGTGATGGTGCTGCTGCTGGTGGTGGTGGTGATGGTGGTGGTGATGTGGTGGTGGTGGTGGTGGTGGTTTGGTGGTGGTGGTGGTGATGGTGATGGTGGTGGTGGTGATGGTGGTGATGGTGATGGTGGTGATGGTAGTGGTGGTGGTGGTGGTGGTGATGGTGGTGATGGTGCTGCTGCTGGTGGTGGTGGTGGTGATGGTAGTGGTGGTGGTGATGCTGGTGGTGATGGTGCTGCTGCTGGTGGTGGTGGTGGTGGTGATGGTGGTGGTGATGGCGGTGATAATGGTGATGGTGCTGATGGTGGTGATGCTGGTGGTGATGGTGCTGCTGCTGGTGGTGGTGGTGATGGTGGTGGTGCTGATGGTGGTGATGCTGGTGGTGATGGTGCTGCTGCTGGTGGTGATGGTGCTGCTGGTGGTGGTGATGGTGGTGGTGGTGATGGTGGTAGTTGTGGTATTGGTGGTGGTGTGTGCGTTGTTCAGCCCCACGTTGAGGACCTGGCCCTACGTGCCCTCCACGCTGTTCTAGAAGGCTCAGAGGAGCACCTAACAAGTCTGCCCCTAGGGAGCTACGGGCTGAGGGTGTGAGAGAGGACACGTCTGACTCTGAGCTGACAGGCAAGTCAAAACTGCTGGTTAAATGGCTTTAAAGTGGTGGCCATTTATAAGTTAATGAAAGAGAAAATAGGCACATTATACACACAGATTTGTCCTTAATGAGGGGAAAAGGCATTGTTTACTGATGCTCTGTTCTAATTATCTGTGCATACGGCCAGCTTGTTCCTGAACTGCACGCACTCTCTTCTACCATATTTTCCTTCCTCCTTTTAACCCCTCTGTGTCCACATGGGCACCAGCTCCTCTCCCCTTAAGCCTCAGGTCCCAGGCGTGCCTGAAGATTCCCCTCCTGTCTCAAGTCTTCTGGGACCTTGATGCTCACACACAGTCTGGCCGGCACGTGCATCTTCTGCTGTCCCCCGTGTTTATGAGCTCTGTGGGTCAGGAGTCCAGATAGGACATTGCGGTCTGCTTCTCCCTATGCTCTGTGTGCTAGGAGCTAGAAGGCTCTAAAGCTGCGAGATAGCTGAAGTCATCTGAAGCTCATTCAGTTAAATGGCTGACATAATGTGCTGCTGGCTGAAGTTTTGGCTAAATATCTGAATGTGGGTCCCATATAGCTTTGTCCTCCTTACAATATGACATCTGAAAAAAAAAACCAAAAAAACAAAAACCAACCCACCAGGTGGTGGTGGCGCACGCCTGTAATCTCAGCACTCTGGAGGCAGAGGCAGGTGGATCTCTGTGAGTTTGAGGCCAGCCTGGTCTACAGAGTGAGTTCCAGGACAGCCTCCAAAACAATACAGAGAAACCCTGTCTTGAAAAAACAAAACAACACCCACAAAACAAAACAAAACAAGGAACAAACAAACAACCCTCCCCCCAAAATATGGCATCTGGCTTCTCAGGGGAAGGCTGGATTGCCTTGTGTGATTTGGCTGTGAAGGTTATATGGGATCATGTGATACACTGCACTCGTGAGGAAGCTACCAGACCCTGTCCAGTGTCACGGGGAGGCATAATAGATGTTGCTTCTTGATGGGGGAATGTCAAGGTTCTAGGAAAGTCGGAGGCGGGGCCTGGCAATGCTACAGGGCTACTTTTAGGGTGTGCTTCTTGTCCTTTCCCAGAGGGAGATTTCAACGAGGCAGCCTGAGAGGTGTCCAGGATGTCACAGCATTGCTGCTGCTGCAAGGGACTTCTAATTCTGGCCCAAGTTCTCTGCTTCCTGTCTGCCACCGTGCTATGACAGGTGTGTGCTTTCTGCCTGCCGACATGCTGTGACAGTTGTCTCTGCTTCCTGACCGCGGCTGTGATGTTGTCTCATGCTCCTCTCACATTGAAGGGAGAAACCCAGCCCCTCGGGGGTATTTCGTTGAGCTGAGGTTTTCTATTCTCACACGCATGCGTGTGTGTGCGTGTGTGTGCGTGTGTGTGTGTGCGTGTGTGTGTGTGTGTGTGTGTGTGTGTAGGCACACGAGTGAAGACCAGAGGTCAACTTCCAACGTCTTCCTTCCTTGCTTCTCTGCCTTATTTTATTGGGAAAGTCTCTCACTGGACCGAATCCACCACGTCAGTCAGGCTGGCTAGCCATTAAGTCCCAGGGATCCTGTCTTCCACCCTTCCCTAGAGTTGGGGTTATAGGCATGTACCACCTCCCCTTAATTTGCTTAAGGATTTGAACTCAGGGCCTTATGGTTGCATGTGAAACACTTTGTTGACTGATCTGTTGTCCCAACCCTTTGTATTTCCATTTCCTAAGGAGTGTGTACCGTGAACAGGGTCTTAGTTACATCTGAATTGCTGTGGCAAAACCCCACGACCAAGATGAGTTATAAAAGAAGGTGTTTAATTGGGTTTATAGATCCAGAGGGCTAGAGTCCAGATGGGAGAGCAAAGGCAGAAACAGCTGAGAGCTCATACCTTGATTCACAAGCAGGAAGCAGAGAGCATGCCAGCACTGGCGTGAGTCTTTTGCAACCTCAAAGCCCACCCCTAATAACACACCCTTTCCAACAAGGCCTCCTAATCCTTCCTAAACAGGTCCACCAACTAGGGACCAAACACTCAAGCACAGCAGCATATGGGGGCCGTTCTCATTCAAGCCTCCACAAACTGTCCTCTTAATAATAATGATGTTTGAGTAGGGCGGATGAAGGAAGGCACTTCTCTAAGGTTCAGAGAGGTTAAGCCATTTGCCTAAAGGCATCCAGCTGGGAAGTGGTGGCTGTGAGATTTGAGTCCTAGGTGCATGTTCTCTGGAGTCTGCTCTATCCACGGGGTGTGCAGATGGCAGCCTGGTAGCTTCAGAGGAGAGTCTAGAATCAGACAGGAGCCACGCAGACCTTAGGGCTCCATCTCCTTTGCATAAGCACCAAAGGTTCATTTTGTTTTCCCAGTCTTGTCACCTGCAAATGGGGACAATAGGTGTCTGAGTGAGCACGGTGCTCCAGACACTGTAGGTGCTCAGTGCTTTTGGAGAATCGTTTCCCCTTTGTTCCTCGTTGTCTTTTCCCCAGAGACCTCTTCCTAAAGGGCTCTCCTGGAGCCAGCAAGGAAGGTCCTGAGGTCTGCGGCCATGCTCCGACACCTAGGTCCTGGGGTTCCCCGCCCCGGGTTTCAGGGTCCCAAGCCTTCAGTGCTGTGCTTTTCACTGGAAGGGCTTTAAATGATTTTTATAAAAACTGCAAATGTACAAGGTAATTGAGTCTTCTGTTTTATTACCCTGAGCTGCCTGGACCTTGCCTGGCCCTGTCCTCCTCACTCACGGAGCCGCCAGAATAAAGTTGGAAGTGTTTGTGTGGGTAATATACAGGACTTAATTAACCTGGCCTTTTATAGCATTTCCAATGGGGGCTTGGAACCAACTTGGAGGAAGCTGGAGAACAGGGCAGGGGGGCCTGGCGTGGGGGTGTGTACAGCGTTGATGTTGTTTTCCCTCCCTGTTCTCTCCTCCGGTACTTTAATCAGCATTTAATGACCCAGTTGAAAATTCATCATTCAGACCCGAGTGCTGGTGGGAAGGCCGGGGGGTGGTGGTAGGCTGCCCACCTCCTCCTCTCCCTCCCTCCTCCTCATGCCCTGTAGTAGCTGGCGAGTCCCTGCTGCTGTAGCCACATTTCCAGGAACTTCCAGGAGAGGTTAGTTCCTCTTACATTAGATAGGAGCTAACAAATTGACATCCACAGATGGCCCCCACGCTGGCTAATGCCACGCTCCATGCAGTGCGAACCCACCTGAGAGGGTTCCGATGGGCCATGCCCCTGCTCTCTGGACTCAAGGCAGAGCCAATGACTTGTCCAGGCCATTCTTCACCCTCTATGCTCTGACATTCCTCTCCTTTCCTCTCTCAGCACCGGGCCGACCCTGAACGGGGTACCCGTCTCTTCTGGCCCAGGAAAAAGTGACTCAATCAGATCCACCCTGGGCGAAGCGGGATGGTTTGGCTGCCAAGTTGCCTTCATGTCTTACAAGCATTATTTTCAGGAGTTGTCCAAGAGAGGGCAGTTAGGGTAAGTGCCTCTCACCAGCTGCCTGCTCAGACCCTGCTCCACAGCCCCTGCCTCGTAAATCCTGGCCCAGCCCTGCCGAGTGGTTACGTCACCCCAAACCTCATGCGACAGTTCGATTTGGACATAAAAAGGCAGGTGTTAATGGACTCACTGCTCGTGCCTCTTTGCGGTGCCCATGACCCTTGATAGCTTTTAACCTCACAGTTAATAAAAATTTGGGGGCCAGCCCCAGCACAGGTCTGCATTCATTCTTTCCTAGCATCAGCAATTTCTTCCCGAGTGAGGATCAAGCGTGCGCCTTCTCAGAGGAGACTGGGGGACAAGGATGAGCAAAAAGAATCTTAGCAAGGCCTGCAGAAGATGCCCACAAATCAGGGAGACTCAGGGTAGATGCTTTAGGGCCTGTCCTAGTCAGGGTTCCTATTGCTGCCATGAAGCACCATGACCAAAGCAACCCGGGCAAGAAAAGGTTTGCTTGGCCTTCACAGTTCATCATCATCAGACAGGACAGGAACTCAAACAGGATCTGAGGCAGAGCCCATGAGGAGTACTACACACTGCCATGCTCCTCATGGCTTGCTCAGCCTGCTTCCTTACAGAACCCAGGATCATCTGTCCAGGGGTGGTCCCACCACAGTGGGCAGGACCATCTCCCATCAATCACTAATTAGGAAAATGCCCTACAGGCTTGCCTATAGCCCAATCTTACAAAGGCATTTTCTCAATTGCGGTTCTCTCCTCTCCAGTGATTCTAGCTATTTTCAAGTTGACTTAAACTAGCCAGCTGCAGGCTATAGGGAAGGCTGAGTACAGCCTCTCTAGGGACCTCTGTTGTCCAGATGGCTCACCCAGCAAACATCACTCCTCCAAGAATACCCAGAGTCTCCTTTGAGGACCTCAGACCTCTCATTAAATCTGCTTCATTCTAAACGGGGCTGAGCTGGGATCCCCAGGGTCAGCAATCACGGGACAGGGCTAGTTCTGGTAGCAGGGAGTGGCCCAGCCATGGGCTTAGAGCTGGAGCTGATTCCATGACAGCTGCTACTATAAAAGTCCAGAAAAAGATGCTGTCTTCCTACTGGGTTTCCCAGAATGAGGGCTGCCCAGAAGGGGGCCCACTGCTCCCGGTGGCCTTCCTGTCCCCAGTTGAGTCATAGAATGATGCCACTTCTTCATTCTTTCCATGGTTTCAGGACCACAGTCTCCCACGTCACAGTGAGCAGCAGATTCCCGTTCTCTCTGTCTTCTGCTTTAAGCTAGTCTGTGCCCAGGAAGCACGTAGGGAAAACAGACCTTAGCAATAGAAAGAAAAAGAAATGGCTGAGCGTGTAGGTCACCCCTGAACTTTTTTTCAGAGGAATCCAGCCAACTACTGGGATTAATCTGTGGCTTGCATTTTGTATGGATCCATTTCTTTGAACTTCTGTAGCCTCTCTAGCTCTTGACTTACAAGTTTTCTAGATGCAAGGATCAGTTGAAAGTCATCTTGTCCCTCCCCAATTCAAGGTACTCAAAGAAGTTATGGGCTACTTCTTACTTCCCCATTTGTGACAGAGTCAGGGAGTTTTTAGTGTCAAGGCCTGGCCAAGAGAGGTGCCCAGCAACATATTAGTGGGTGGGCCATCTGGATAACAGATTGACAACCCGAGGAAGTTTTTTTTTGTCTCACAGTTTGAATCCATCATGACGTAGATGGCATGGTGCAGGAGCGTGAGGAGCTGGTCATAGTGTGTCAGCAGTCGGCCAGCAGAGAACGGTGAATGCCTGGGTTCAGTTTACCTTTTCCTTGCTTCCCATTTATACAGTCTGTTTCCTAGCTCACAGGATGGTTCTGTCTCTGTTCAGTGCAGATTTTCCTTCCTTAATTCTCTGGAAGCTTCTCTGGAAGCCCTAGGTGTATCTCCTAGGTGACTTCAAATCTAATGAAGTAGACAATGAAAATGAACCACCCCAAAGGGATGTTCCTTTTTAAGGCTACATCTGTAAGACTCTGAGAGCAAGTGCCCCCTTAAGTGTTGTACCTCAGGCTCCTCTTGCTTCTTCCTTGACTTGGCCAGTCCTGTCAGGTTGCTGGGGTCCAGCCCTGTCTGTCTCCAGGCCAGCCTGAAGAATACATAATTGATTGCTGGTATTTCCCCATTCTTCTTAATGTGCCATACTTTGGACTCTAGAAGACTATGTCTTACAGAGACCTCGTGGGGGTTTTAACAAGCCAATTAGAGTAGAGAGCCTGATGCAACTCATTCCAGCCAAAGTATGCTTCAAGGGCAGTGGGCTCAAATTCGAGACAGGATTTCTTTATGTGGCCATGGTTTTCCTGGAAATTGTTCTGTAGACCAGGTTGCCCTCAAATTCAGAGATCTGCCTGCTGCCTCTGCTAGGATTAAAGCAATGTACCACCACACTCGGCTTTCTGAAGACTCTTTTTGGTAAAACTGAGCATACAGAAACCAAACCAGCAGAGAAGCTTCACAGAGAAGTGGTACAGGATCCATCTGTACTGTAATCCGCTTGTATTCATCCATGATGGGACTCACCTTCGGATGCAAGTATATGCTTAGGCACGGGACTGGTACTTGGTTTTGGGGATGCCATTTCTAGGGTGTCTTAGTTTTGGTTTTTATATTGCTGTGAAGAGACACCATGACCATGGCAACTCTTGTAAAGAAAACATTTAATTGGGGCTGGCTTACAGTTTCAAAGGTTCAGCTCATTATCATCGTGATGGGGAGCATCGCAGCGTGCAGGCAGATGTGGTTCTGGGATAACAGCAGAGAGTCCTACATCCTCCAGGCAACAGGAAGTCAACTCTGAGGGAAGCTTGAGCAAAAGAGACCTCAAAGCCCACCCCCTCAATGATGCACTTCCTCCAACAAGGCCACACCTCCTAATGGTGCCACTGCCTTTGGGGGCCGTTTTCTTTCAAACCACCACTTAGGGTGATACATAAAGACCCAGTTCTGTTTGCTGGGGTGCAGGGTATAGTCAAGGCCTAAGTTCATGTCCTTCAAGTGTAACCTACTCTTCTCTTGTCAACTAGATCTGGAGAGGCAGACAGTAGGAAGGGCTCTATAGGCAGAGAGGCTCATTACGGTCCAGTCTCTAACTGCAAGGGTGAGTCCCACTTGGAGACATTTTTCCCAATAGGAATCATAAAATACTTCCTGGTAGGGCCCCTGAAGAGAGAAGGCAAGGTTCTCAGCACAGGGCTTGTCATAAATTCTCAATGAATAATTAGTGTAATTGTTTTCATTGTTCTGTCTGAAAAGAGGGTCTATCAGATCACAACTACTGTCAGGCAGTTAGAGATCCAGCCAGTCCTCTGAGAACCACTGTGGTCAGGACGTTAAAACAACAACAACAACAACAAGCCCAATGGTGTGAACACTTACTACAGGCTCTCTTGGGGAAGAGCCAAATCTTGTGTCTTTAGTTTTAAAGGGGTCTTCAAAACCCAGCCCACAACAACCTCTCCATCAAGATTCCTCTGCTGACATTTTCATCTCCTTCCTCTTCCTCAGTGAGTGCATTTCCCACAAATTCTGCAAAGAAACTTTTGCCCATTGGGTAACCCACTTGGGTGGCATCTACGCCTTGTTCACGCGTGTGTGTGTGTGTGTGTGTGTGTGTGTGTGTGTGTGGCAGATAGAGATTGATGGTGGATGTCTTCCTCAATCACCTTCCACCTTACTTATTATTACTATTATTATTATATGTGAGGTAAGGTCTCTCACTGAACCTGAAACTTCCTGAGATGGCTTCACTGCCTGGCCAGCGAGCCCCAGGGATCCCTCTGTCTCTATCCTCCCACCCCAGTGTTGAGACTACAGATAAATACCTCTGTGTAGCTTTGTATATGAACTCTTGGGATCGAACTTGGGTCCTCATGCTTGCAAGGAAAACACTTTACTGACTGAACAATCTTTAAGCCCCTAATTTCTAATTTCTTTTCCTTTAATTGGAACATAGGTCCCTTGAAGACAACGGTAGCTTGGGCTTGGTCCCCTCAATGTCCCCATTCATCTAACTGTGGAACATGTCTGAGCATCCAGGTTAGTTCCCAGAGGCTGATGGCCACACTCTCAGCTAGATACTATGTGCTTGGACTAAAGGGGGACATTCTTGGGGATGAAGAGGCCTGTGGCCACTGCAGGGAGCTCAGGCTTTCTGGATAATTAGAATCATCCACAAATTCTATCTGCAGCAGCTTTAACAGTCAGACAGACCTGGGGCATTTAGTTACCCTTTTCAGGGCAGTCACAGCCTGGGGCAACCAGTCCAGTCTCTCCCCTAGCCCCCAGGGCTGCAACTGAACTATGTTGGTTGCTTAATAAAAATAGCACCAATGCCAAGCCCTTACTCCAGTGGAGAAATAGCCCCATGCCCCTCAATCCCATTAACATCTCACACCTTAATGCAGCCATATTTTTGGAAAGCCAATATGTGCTGAATAGCTTATTGGTATGCAGCTCTGGCTGGGGGTGGGGGCTCTTGGGAGGGGACCACTCTGCAAAGGGGATGTAATTAAGTCTCAGAATGTTCGATGTATGTCCCAAAAGGCAGTCAGTCAGGGGTATGGGAACAAGAACGATGGATTATCTAGAAGCAGCTGTGTGCAGGGAAAGCTTGACCATGGGCCACCTTGGCCTTTGCCCACCCCAGGCCCCCAGACAAGAACAGGGCCACCCACCCATCCTTTGGGTCTCAAACATCACATTTCCCAAGCAGGCCCTATTGGCAGCTCCTCTCAGATAAAATACATCATCATTTGCTCCATTAGAAAATAAATGTATGGCTATATTATGGGATTTGCATTCCATTACCTTGGTTTGCATGCCATAAAACATTTATTACACCCTTGGGCTAAAGTCTTAATAATGACTGGGTGCACGGCACTAATGCGGCGCTGGTCTTGCTCGGGAACCAGAGATTAATGCTTTTTGATGTCACCCAGCTAATAGTTGCGCTCACCAATTTGTCCCATCAGAAGACATTAGAATCAGGCCTTGTGTGAAGGTGGGGGGATCACTCTTCAGCTTCAGCAAGGGAGTCAGGGCTCCCCCTTTCTGCTTCCCTACCTGATATTAATCAAAGTGAAATCTCAGAGTCAGCCTCTTCAATCCTGGTTAGCTGCTGCCCTCCACCCCTAGCCTTGGGCAAGTCTCCACTCTGGTGTGAAAGCTACAATCAGACCTTTAAACGCCTGTGTTGGGCTAGCCAGCAGTGGCAGCTGCTGTAACAGCAGTGTGTGTGTGTGTGTGTGTGTGCGTGCGTGCGTGCGCGCGCGTGTACACACATGCTCACAAGCAGAATGCAGATACAGACCCATTGCTCCACCAGACTCTCACTGAAGCCTATCAGCCCAGAATAGGAACAGGGAGACCACCTTCATCCACAGCCAGGTCTAAGGGCAGCGTCTGTGAGGAGACAGGGTTGGGATGAGAGCTGAACTGGACTATTGGGTGTTACATCACAGGTCCTTTGTGAGCCACTTTGGTTGAAACAGTCCCTGAGGGAATGCCTTGGGGAATGTTAGGGTATTGGGTGGTAATGATTCTCTGTAGGGTCCTGTCTTATAGCCCTTTTGTTCAAGGCTATGGCCAAAGTCACTTACACTTAACATCTATGGTGTGTGTGTGTGTGTGTGTGTGTGTGTGTCCCCTTACCCAGGTTCTCCACCTACCCTACAGTGGCACATTTGCTTTAGTGACGGAGTAGATAGCTGTGTGTGGGGCAGCTTGTGGAATGGTCAGAGGCTCTATGTAGTCTATACAGCTTGTGGAATGGTCAGAGGCTCTATACAGTCTATACAGCTTGTGGAATGGTCAGAGGCTCTATGTAGTCTATACAGCTTGTGGAATGGTCAGAGGCTCTATGTAGTCTATACAGCTTGTGGAATGGTCAGAGGCTCTATGTAGTCTATACAGCTTGTGGAATGGTCAGAGGCTTTATGTAGTCTTGGCAATGAGTCCAGTGGGAAAAAAAACTGTTTTTGGTGACCCTACCGTGAACCAAGCTCTATTTTGCATGCAGGCACAATGAATATTTGCATGACTGCAAGAGAGATCCTGAATTTCCCAGAGAAGGACCCCCTGGGAAGTGTGTGTGTGTGTGTATGTGTGTGTGTGTGTGTGTGTGTGTGGTGGGGGTAGGAGCATTGCCCTCTCTCAGGCCCAGAGCCTGACCTACATGCTATCTGCAGCATGTAGCCCTGTGGAAGGCCGTGTGTCACTGACAACTGTCCCCTGGAGTGGTCGTAGATGTATGTGTGGCACTCTACTGCCTCATCGTGTTTGAGCATTTACATATCAGAGTATATATTATCCCATTAGACCTCGCTTTCCTTTGATTTCTCCTTTATATTACAGTGGGGTCAATATATCGATTTTTAAAAAATTATGTGGATAAGTTGGTTATATTATCTCTGCTTTCCATTCTGAGATGGTAAATGGGGTGTGACAGGACCTGGCAGTAAAAGGAGCTGGGGACCACAGCTGGAATTCTACCAGCGTAGAAGTCTGGGCCTTGGCCGCGTCCTCTGTGTCAGCCTCTCCATCACTTGTAACTAAATATGTGACAGGAGCAACTTGAGGGAGGAGAGGCTGCTTGTGGCTCTCGGTGAAGGGATTTTGTGATGAGGGGGAGGCACACTGGGGCTCACGGTAGCAGCTTGCCTCTGAGACTCCATGGATCTCACGGGATAGGACATTGGGCTATGACCGTCAAGCCCCTGGAGAGCTGGAGAGAGGCTCAGCACTTGAGAACACGGGCTGCTCTTGCAGAGGACCTGTTTGGTTCTCAGCGCCCACAATGGTGGCTCTTAGCTTTTCTGGACTCCATGAATACTCACATATACATGGCTAGTACATACACCTCTCTCTCAAAATAATAGACGTGGGTGTTGGGGGCAGAGAGAAAGTCCAGGGGTTAAGAGCACGTTACTCTCTCGGAGAAGCTCAGTTCCCAGCATTTACCATATTGAGTGGCTCACAGTCACCTGTCACTCCAGCTCTGGAGGATCCCGCACCTCTCCGGACTGTGTGGTACTGGAGCCCACACGGGCCAATTTCAGTACATTCTAAAAACCTTTAAAAGACCCTCCCCAACATTTCCTTCAGCTAGACCCCACCTCACAAAACTCGACTTCCCCAAACAGCACCACCAGCGGGGGACCAGATGCTCAAACACATGATTTTATACAGGGGACTTTCACGTTTCCATGGCGATTTTACTCAGAAAGGTTCTTCCAGGGTCTTCAGCCCACACCCACCGGAGTCTGCCTCACTCCCTCACAGCAATGGAAGCACCCTGCCGTCTCAAGGGTAATCATGCCACTTGTGTCCCAATACACGGATAAGCTCCCTCAGGACGGCTCTCACAGTCCTGACCAGGCCCATTGGAAAGGACACCGATGACACAGCTGGCCGGCCCTAGACTTGTCCTGTGACACAGTCCCTGTGTGCAAACATGAGGGAAGGGCCTGGACTGCCGAGGAACCCTGCTGGAAGCCTCTGCCCTCAGCTTGAGGGAGTTGGGTCGCATGGGCACCCCAGACCAGAGGAGGATTTTCCTGACAGGCTCAGAAAAGCCAAGGCTGGTTAGAAACGATTAAAAATGTGTGTGTGTTTGTGTGTGTGTGTGTGTGTGTGTGTGTATCAACAGGAAAAATGAGCCTAGGGCTATTTTAAAATTTATTAGAAGTCCATTGCCTATAGAGATGGCTATGAAGTTAAGAGCACTGGCTACTCTTCCAGAAGACCCAGGTTCAAGCCCCAGCACCTATGTGGTGGCTCGCAACCAACTCTGACTAGATTGTAAGAGATGAGATGCCCCGTGGATGCCAGGTACACAGACATGCACACAGGCTAAACACTCATACACACAAGATAACAACTTTAAAGAGATGATGTGTTGAAGGAAACCACCTTGTGTAGTGAAATGGTGACTTTGGGCCTCCTTCCATAGCCAAGAAGCACTTTTATATAGAGGAAGTTTGATCCCAGAGAGCAGGGATTTGGCACATCCACGGAGGACAGCACTGCCAAAGGTGATTAAGGGGAAGTCAGCTCCTCTCAGGAGATGTGCCCGTGATACATGGTCATGAGTCACTCTCACCCAACCTGGGCTGGATAGCGGGAAGTGATGGTAGGCCTCTATATCTCTATGTTTTTTTCTTTTTCCAAATGGGGGAAGTTATCTATTCAAGCTTTTGTTTTTGAGGCAAGGTCTTAGGTAATGGTGGCTGGACTTAGAATCACTAGATAGCTGGCCTTGAACTCCTGATCTTTCTGTTTCAACCCAGGAGGAATGTGCCACCACACTTCTCTAAGTCAGGACCTGGAAAGATGGTTCAGTGATTAAATGTGAGTACTCCTCTTTCAGGGGACCAGAGATCAGTTAGTTCCCAGCACTCTGGTTTGGCAGCTCACAAGCTCACAAATACCTGGAACTCTGGCTCCTGGGGATCTACTGCCCTCTTCTGGTTTCCTCATGTAACTGCACACACACACACACACACACACACACACACACATACACACACACACAGAGAGACAGAGACAGAGAGAGAGAGACAAAGAGACACAGAGAGAGAAATAAATAATAATTTTTACCCCCGCCACCTGCGACAGGTGACGGAGCTGACTCTCCCCCTTATCATCTGCAGCCCTTGGGATAGCAGGCCCTGCACCTCGAGTGGGCAGCATAGTTGATGGGGCTGCGGGGAAAGGTGGGAGTGAGGGGTTATGGGTAGACTGGCCCCGAGAATGTGTGCTTGGAGACCTGGCTCTGCCCCTTATCTGCCGTGTGGTGGTGTGTGTAAAGGAGAGATGTCCTCCTCCCCGTCACCGCCTTCTGCAGCAGTTGGAAGACGGCCCTGAGGTCATAAGATCTGGAGAGCTGTCCCTGCCCATCACTGGCCGCAGCACTTGGGAATGTGGCCGCTGCACCTCACCTGGGCAACACAGTAGAGCTGGCCCTGATGGTGTAGGAGTGGGTGAGCAGACCCTGAGGGCCTGCAAGCAGGTGGACCGGCCCAGCCCCTTGCTCATTGTTTCAAGGGATGAATTTAGCCAGGGCAATGCTGGAGAGCTCACCCTGGTGGTGAGGCTAGGGAAGAACTGATGGGCTGACCAACCCAGCAACTACCCAGGCCTAGGAATCTACTACCCTCTACTGGTTTCTTCATGTAACTGCACACACACACACACACACACACACACACACGCACGCACGCACGCACACACGCACGCACACATGCACGTACGCAGGCACCCACGCACATGCTGTTGGCCCACCCCAGCATCTGCCCCATCTGTGATGTGCTGGAGCACCTGAAGGCGCACATCCTGTAGACCCAAAGCTGTAGGATCTCCAAAACACAGGGCGACAGCAGGGTATCCAAGAGGAGTCCCTGTGAGGGTCCCCCATTGAGAATGCAGCAGAAACTAGAGACTTTGAACAAGACAACGACTCTTTGCAATGAACACTTGCAAGTAAAGATGTATGGATAAAAGGGCTTACTGCGTGACTGTGTCATGCTACAGCTTCCACACGAGATTTTTCTTTTTTCCTTTCTCTTAAATTTTATTTTTTAAAAAATTTTTGGGGGGTTGCAAGGGCAGAGGACAGATACGATGGATAGACGGAGAGATGAATGGGATTGAGGCACGTGATGTCAAAGACAAAGAATAAATAAAGAGTTAAAAATAATTGTAAGTGTTTCGGGCAGATGGGGATGGGACAGGAGTGGGTCAGGTATTCTGGCACTCGGGAGCCACAGAATACTGAGTGTTACACAGCTCAGATGGAAAGGTATCCTGGAGGTCGGGAGCCAAGGACCACCACAGGTTGCAGTAAGCTTAGCAGCTTACAGCCCAGCCTCAGGGAAAGGCTTCCTCAGTGTGTCGGCTCTGCTCTGGCAGGACAGGGTCTTCCAGCTGGGGATGTTCGCCCAGTGTAGCAGTTTTGCTCCGGCAGGAGGTTTCTCAGGCGAAGTTGCAACAGTTTAGCTCTGCTCACCTCTGCTCTGCCAAGGGAAGGTTTCCTGGGCAAGTGTTACAGCGCTGCTCGCTCTCTGCTCCGCACTCATCGAAGGGGTTTATTGGAAGGCAGCTGGACCAGCCAAGCTGACCTTACACAGGGTTTATATAGGGATTCTTGGGGGCGGGGAAGCTTTTCCAGGGTAGGGATTGGTCCAATTTCAGTGCTGAGCTCAGATTGGCTAGAGCTCTGTTGGAGGATTGGTTAGTTTTCTGCACAGGATTAGGGTCAGATTTGGCTCTGGTTTCAGGGCCAAAGTGTGTTTCTTTCTCTGGTCCTTTTTAGCCTTTTGACTCCAATTTTAGGGCCAGCGTGCATTTCTTTCACTGACTCAAATTCCAGGGACAAAGTGTGTTCCTTTGGCACTGGTTTCAGGGTCAGGGTACATTTCTTTAGTTCTGGTTGCAGGGCCAAAGTGTGTTTCTTTGGCTCTGCTCAGGGTGTGTTTCTTTAACTGGACCTTTTCCCTACAATAATGATTTTTAAAAATAAGAGTGATTCATTTGATATTTACATTTTATTAATAAAATCTGTTTATTCTATATGTTCTTCACATCATTATCTTGACCCCAATCATTCCCTGTCCCTTCGTATGTTGCTCCTGCACCTGCCCCCCAATAAAACAAAATTCAAAAGAAAAAATGAAGAAGATAAAATGAGAATATTTTTAAACGGGAAGGAATTAAATATCTCATCATGGGAGCTGTAGTGTGACCCAACAAGTCACAAGACGCCTTTGTCCTCACATCGCTATGTGTGCGTGTACATTCTCTACCTGCACGTGACGTGCACGTGTGCATTGAAAAGGGCCACTGGTCTGCTTCAAGGCCCCTAGTCTCCAGCACACGCTCCATGCTGGGCCTCCACTAGACTCTTCCTGATGTCTCACCGGGGCCCTGTGTTGTGAGACCCTGCAACTTTGGGTCTGAGGGTCAGGTCCCTTCACATGCCCCAGCAGATCACAGATGCGGTGGGCGTTGGGGCGGCCCAGTCGCAACCCTGGTTCCGGGATTGGACAGCTGTAGGGTCGGTTCACTAGATGGGGAATGGGAACCGCTGTCCCATGCTCACAATTTCAAGGGTGGTTCACCCCCGCCTCCACTAACAGGATTGGTTCTGTTGTGCTGCCCTGGCGATGCAGGGCCTGCTCTCCAGAGTGTTGCAGCTGGTGGGGGGTGGGGACAGCTCTCCCGCCGGCACCAGGCATTGATGGGAGGGGTGGGGTGGGGCCATGGAGGAGAGTATCTCTCCAGTCCATATCTCTACAGGACAGATTGGGAGCTCTCCCATGCTCCCAGTTTGGGGGCTGGCTCACACGCACCTGATTTGCTGCATTTTTAGTTGTGCTCAAGTGTGTGCATGTGTGTGTGCATATGTGTGCGTGAGTGTGTGCGTGTGCACGCGTGTGCGTGTGCACGTGCATGTATGCATGCGTGTGTATGTGTACACACACGCGCGCCTGCATATGTGTGTGTGCGTGAGTGTGTGTGTGTGTTTTAGTTCAAGGGAAGTATGAATAAAACCCAGTGGAAATGTAGGTGTCCAGTTTTTAGGGTCAGTGTCTTTGTCATTGGGATTTCTGTGAACTTAGGCTACCCAGGTCCTTACCCTAGCCCCACCAACCGAGTATCTAGGTAACAAAAGACAAGTTCCTTAATTTCTCTGTGCACGGCTCCCTTCCATTTCCTGCTCACTTCCTCACTCCTGGGGTCACTTCCCAAATAAACCACCCAACCACCTCCTCATCTTAGGAGCTGCTTCTGCCAAATGAAGGAAAACTAATTGTGTGACCAAAGTGAGATCATTTTCCACAGTTGCCTGCCATGCTGTGCATAATAAGTATCCACCTAGCAAGGCCTGCGCATGGCCCAGATTGTACCAGAACAATTGCTTCATTAGGAATCAGCTCTCCCCTCCGGCTCAGGAGATGATGGACCTCTACCCCCCACACGGAAGGTCTTGTAGGTGAGAGCTTGGTGACACGACCTCCTTCTGGCTTCTCTCACCCGCCGTCTGTTCCTAATAACCCCACCCATGCACCAGAGCGGCTCTGACTTGATATTGCAGGACGCTGTCACTTGAAATTAATTGCAACTAATTAAAAATGATCCGGTTAGGACAATTGCACAATGGCGCTCCGGAGACCGCTTCATTCCCAGAGGTTTGGTGGCGTTTGTGGCGGTTGCAGCCTGGGTCTGCCGGATGGGGCCATATATCATCGTGTCATTTTACATTGTTATTTCTCTGAAAGCCACAATTTAAAAGAGTCTCAGATGAACCATGAGCAACTTTGTGCTAAAAAGAAAAATGTTACTGTCCAAGATCTGAAAAATATAACTTATAGGCTCAAAGCAGTCTCTTGACATGAAAAGCAGTCTTAAGTTGGTGCTCTGATTTGCATATAATATATAATGTTGTAGTTAAAGGACCCACAAAGCAGGCCGTGGCTTTGGAGCATTGATCCTCTGCTCCTTTGTTCAAACTGGGTCACCTACGGTTCCTGTTCACTATGTTATCACAGCCATTCCTCACATAAATGATGGGTTGGTGCCTAACCCACTGGATTCTAGAGACTACTCCAAGTTCCAGGAGGACCTAGGGTCCCTTCCCTCTGGTTTGGAAGACATATTCCATTTGGCCTAACTGATCCCAGAAGCAGTGACCGTCAGGGACAGGTCCACTTACCAGGCATGGCAGGGGCTAGCCAGAACTGGGGCATGAGCTGGGCTAAGCTGTGTAGCAGCCACACCCCTCCGTGGGAGGGAGGGCAGGCAGTTGGAGTGGATTTTGGCACTGTGGTTTTGAGATAATAGGTCACTGACTTCCCATCTAGCTTCTTGTGTCACCTACAAACCTCTCCTCACAGGGCAGAATAGAAGCAGGAGTTTTATTATTGTTTTTTAGGTTCATCTATGCATGTATTTTACGTGAATGGGCGTTTTGTCTGCATGTACATCTGCACACCAGAAGAGGGCATCGGATATCGGATCCCATGGGACTACAATTATAGATGGTTGTGAACTGCCACGTGGGTTCTGGGAACTGAACCTGGGTCCTCTGGAAGAGCAGCCAGTGCTCTTAACTACTGAGCCATCTCTCCAGCCCGGAAGCAGGCCTTTGCCTTCCCTAGAGATGATCATTTGGGCACCAGAATCCCTCCCTCCCTCCCTTCCTTACTGCCTCTGTGTAGGCATCATGGCTGCACGGCAGCCCTCCATCCATCCTGGTCACTCAGAGGCCTCCGAAAGCATGCCTGTCAATATAACGCACGGCCTGTTGAGAGGAAGTGACATTTTGAGT